GCAACTAACTAATTTCCACATTTCTTCTGATAAACTGAAGTGCATCTGGTACCACCCTCTGACTTTCTGCAGAATTTACAAGATAAAGAAAATATTAAAAATCTAAAGAAAAAGAAAAACATTTGCATTTCTAAAAGGCAATCTTTTAGAAACACTACCTCAGGAGAAAATATAATATGTTTGACTTAATGCTGTCTGTAGTAAAATGACCACAGGGACAGGTCCAAATGGTTTATTAAGTAAGAAAGATTGAACATATGAAAAATTATTCTCTCCCTGAATATTTCTAACCCACACATGTAATTTATATCATGGCAAAATTCAACACAAAAGTTCTATTGTGTTTTGCAAAATAACCTGCAAACATGCTTAATTAGGATGCAAGCTGAAAGCACAGTTTAATACTGTTGACAGCCATGAGCTTTAGATAACGATTTCTACTATTATTATTATTTTACTTAGGGAAACATATGAAAAGCAGTAAATATGGAACTAGAAGACAAAGTTATTAAAGACATGTAGCATTTTAATCTTATGATTCTCATTTGTGTGTCAACATTGCAAATAATATGCTCCGCACATCCCCAGCTTGGAATGGGAATAAAAGAAATTGTTTTTGCAATGAAAGCTTACTCCCACGGATATTTGAAAAAGATGTCAGCATTTAAGTTAATCAATATCTGTTTCCAGTGGGCTTTACTTTGAGAAGTGATGGCCTCTTTCTAGGGAGAAGGGATAATTCTTTATACTGACATTCCATTCCATTTACTGCAAGATGTAAATGAATGCCTCCATTAAATGAATTCCATGGTCAGTTAATATCCAAAGCAGTCTTTTCTCTATAGTAGCCACTTATTTTCCATTCAATTGGAACAACTAGATCTTAAAAATAAAGCTGGAAAAAATATAACATAGGGCAACATTTTCAAACTGGTAATTCCTAGTTTTTCCAGGGCTGTGCCTTATAATCCTGTGTTTTTATGGATTTTAGATGAAGGATGTGAAAAGGGAGGTCCAGGTTTCAGGCCTGAATGAGGCAGATGAGGAATATGATTATCTGGATATTCTAGCTATTTCACTTATTTAAATTTTAGGAACCATTTTTAAGAGATAACTTATGTATGACAAGATACAAGGTAAAATGTAGAGTTACAGCATTACAGAGTACAGAGGAGAGAGTCCCGGCCTCTGGCCTTTTCCCTCCCCCTGCTGTATGACCTCAGATAAATTACTTTGGTAACTTTCAGCTCGGGGCCTTAACTTTCCATTTGGTTTCCTTATCTGAAAATGACAGTTATTGTGATAAGGACCAGGCAAAATCATGGAGTCTACAAAAATGCTTTTAATAGTATGAAATGGTGCAGAAAGTCAGGATATTTCTGTGACAACTTGAAAAATATATCTATCAGAGGTCACCAATCTGAAGAGTTGAAGTTAAAAACTTTAGGGGCGGATATGTGACCCGGGTTATCTGGGCTTACTATTTCGAGTTCTTATTTTGCCTCTGTTCACATAGCCCTAGAGTTGAGTAAAATGTAAAAAAGGTAACTAGGTATTCTATTTTATGAGGTTCTGTTCAATTTTTCACTGACTTATTTCCTACTGTAAAATTAATACGTGCTTAATGTAGAAGCTGCCCACAGCTTAGAACGGCACAAAGAAGTACTTCCCTCCACTGCCTCCCGTGCTGCGCGCTACCGCCTGCTCTCCCTCTCCCTCCGCCCCACCTCTCTCCCTCTCTCTCCTCTTTCTCTCTCTCTCTCTCTCTCTCTCTCACACACACACACACACACACAGAGGACTCCCCATTTCCACTCCCCAGAGATAACCACTATGGACAGTCTGTTGTAAAATCAAATACTTTGAAAATGGAAAACATTGCAAAACAATTTATGGATTTAAAAAATACATTAAATTAAAGAAGAATCTAGAATTATTCCATGCCAGTCAGAGTGGGTGAAATCTCAAATTCCCTCAGAACAACAGACTGACCAATTGCTGGGTAAGGGAACTCAAACGAGAACGCTGTAAACAAACTGTCCAAAGCGCACGGTCAGAGACAGCCTACAGCAAAGATGGAAGGGAGCCTTCAAGAACACCACCTCCTCCTCGTGTTTACCAACTTGATGACGTTTTTCAACATGTTTTAATGATTATCATACCTTCCCCTTCACAAAGGATTGATTTATTATGGTTTAGATTTAAAGAAACTGGTTTTCCAGTTTTGAATCAAGCTTAGATTACAGAACACACAAAATCAATGACTTTGTTCTAGGCAAGAAAAAAACCAGTCTTCATTTAAGCGCAAAAGGAGCAGTCCTGGGGAAAAATTCTTCATGTAGTTCTACATGCTCACTATTTCTACTGCCCTCCTCGGCGCCTCTACTCCTTCCCCCAGCGCTGTCGCCAGCAGCACCATCCCACTGAACACTTCTATGGCACCTTAAAACTCACCAACAACGTCACACATTATTTGCTTTAATCCTCCAAACAAGTTTGTCAGGTAGAAAGAACAGTCTTAGCTTTTCAATTTACAGATAAAAAACACTGAAGCTCAGAGCAGTGAGGTGATTGGCTCAAGATCATTCACCCAGTGCAGGCATACTTGCCCAGGTCTACCGATGACTTCTCAACGTCTATCCAACCCAGATCCCTCTCTCAAGCTCCAGGACCCACATCCAGTCACTGACCCAGCACCTGCACTTTAGAGTTCCAATGCGGTTAAACTCTGTTTCCAGGCTGAGCCCATAATATTCTCCCATAAACTTGTTTCTCTTTCAGTGGTTTTCTCTCTCTGTGAGTGGCACCATGATCCTTTCCATTGTTCAAGCGCAAAACCTAGACATCATCGCTACTCACCACCCCTTTTCTCCACACGCGTACATACTCCATCACCACATCCTATAGATTTTGCCTTCTGAAGGTTTCTCAAATCTGTCCACTTCTCCTTATCTCCACCATGAACACTGTAGTCCAAGACCCCAGCATCTCACATCGAAATCATTTCCATGTTACTCTCTGCCTTCCCTTACCACGCCCACTCCATGCATTCTCCACTCTGCAGCCAGAGTGACCAGGTAATTCCTCTGCTTACAATGTTTTGTTGGCTTCCCAGTGCTCTTCAGATAAAGATAAGAATCTTTCGTGTGGCCTATAAAGGGCCAGTATGATCTGATCCCTGTAAACTGGCAAGAGAAATGAGCTCTTTCCATAGTTTCAGGATACCATGATGCCTTTTAAAAAATAAATGAATATTTAAGCTTCTGAGTTTTTAAATAATGCATAACATTTAATAGCTTAAATGCATTGATTAATCGTAGAATGAAGTTTGCACTTGCGGGTGTTTTTAAATGTGAGTAACATATGACCATATATAAGTCTTTCTGAATTTCTTTCTTAAATATAACTGAATTCATTTTATCAAAATAACTTTTGAATTAAAATCCATGCACAAATATATATAATAAAACATATACTATTTATACAATTTTAGAACTCATTTCACAGTGTGTAATTTCTGTCTCAAGCCCTTGGACGGCTGGAGGAATGGAGGCACGGACACTCCCCCATGGTGTAGGGATTACTCATCTCAGAGTCTACAAAACAGGGTCAGCTTCATGGGTGTGTGACTTGTGCAGTCACCCAGGGCCTGCACTTAGAAGAGCCCCATGCTTGGTTTATTGCTCTACTTTTCAGTCTTGAAATTCGTGATTTTTGAACAAGTGTCCTCACATTTTCATTTTTCCCTGGGCCCCACAAATTATTTAGCCCATTCCTGCTAAAAAGAATCTCAAAGTATTAAGAGTTGAACTCTCTCATGTCATCGAGGACCAAAGTGTTCATTGCACCCTATTTCTGTATTTCATGAACTCAGCAGAAGGAGAGCTCTGAGGACCACCAAAGTCAGAACTGCTAATCAATGGGAGGAGCTATAGAGACTGCGGCCAATCATAGATTTCAGGACAACAAAACATAAGCTCTACTCAATAAATGAGATTTCCAAATGCAGTGAAAACTGATTAACAACTTTGGCCAGTCAACGAGGCAATGCCGACAGATGGTTAATGTGGAACATGTCGTGGATTTAGCTGTTACTTGAGATAAACCCTGGCCGAGAGTATGGGAGATAGCTGGGCAAAGGCAGATAAAAGTGACTTTACTGAATAGTCTGGTAATAGCCACATTAGGAATATTTTTATGATTTATAGAAAGTCCTTCAATACTTTTATACCAAGCAAAAGGAAGAACTGAACCCCTATGGGAAACCGTCTGCATGTGAAAAATGTTTCCCGAGCTGGTGCTTCCAGGATTGCAATTTTCATTGAAAGCAAGCAATATGATGGTGGGGGAAAATTCTGTGATGCTATAGCTTGAAAGATGCTTATTTTAAAGCATATCATGTGCTACTTTTATCTTGTAGAAGTTGAAAGGCTGCTAATATCTGTAAGTTACCATTAAAAATATACATGTAATTATTATTTTGCACTAAAAGCAAATGATCCTAGAAGAGTTGATTTACTACTTACCGTAATTAACATAGGTAAATTAAAAAATTAATATCTAGGTAAAATTTAAGTTTTAGGCTGACAATTTTTCCCCATGAGCTCAAAATTTATTCAGAATACAACTTTTTGGAGAAAGTTATGCTTCTAAGATAAAATTAAGTGATAATATAGTTTCTAGAAATTCCTATTAGTGATCAACGGGAAGCATGCAGGTGTAATGGTGCATATTTCAAGAAGATACATTTCGGTGTCAGACTTGGGTTCAAGTCTCTACTTTGCTATTAACTATGTGACAATTTTCTTGATCTTCCTAAGCCTCAGTTTCCAAATTTAAATAGGGATAACAAAACTCAGTGCATAAGGCTGATGTGAGGATCAAATTAGATAACAGATGTAAGTGTTCAGCACAGTGACCGGGACATGCTAACCACTCTACAAGCATAGTTATCATCGATAAGACTTTTCCTCCAGGATCTTAATCTATTAAATAGTTACCTTATTGACAGGAAGAATGTTTTTGACATTGTGGTAGAAGCCAAAATAAACCATGTTGAAAACCCCATGACGTCCCAAAGTCGCTGTAAATCCTTTGTTGAGGCCCTGGAGCCCCAAGCCTTCCTTCTTAATGATGTGTCTTGCATAACTCATGGTAGATGGTTGCTGCAGGAGAGAGAAGCAGAGCCAGAGAGATCATCTTTGCGACTGTGAAACAGAGCAAATTGCCGTTTTAACTTTCCTTCAAGCCAGAATTATTAGGGACTTTTTTTTCCCCAAACATGAATAATCATGCCCACATCCGTGCTTTTTAAAATTAGAAAACCCAAAAAGTAAACAAAATTGCATGCATAACAATGGGCCTTAAAGGGAAGATTGTTGGCAAAGGAAAAACATCTTTGGTGGAATCAGTGAAACTAATGTCATGTAATAACTATCACCACTTTCAACATGTAAACAGTTGTATCCAATTCTGGGTGAGCCACACTAATGGAGAGGATTAGCCATATAGATAAGCTGGTAATCCATAACTGAGCATAATCCAAAAGGAATTTATATTAGGCTCCTGAATCCGGCACATTTACAGACTCAATTATGTTTTTCTAAAGTGACTGTTACAACTAGTGTTGATTCCATTGCCTCAATAGTTTAAACTGGTGCTAGGTTGGAAATTAGCCATGGATAAATAGCAGCTGCTTGTGGACGTCCTCAAGAAGGTGGGCAATCAGTATGCGTATCACTTGCTGTGATAAACGATAAATCAGTGTTGGGAGTACTGGGTTACGTTTACTTTGTTCCTTTCCAATCCTCTGATTGATTACCCAAGGTTGAAAAACCTTGACTGCTGGAATCCAGTCTGTTGCTACTTTTGAAACATGCTAAAGAGCTCACTGTAGTTTGCTCTGAGGTTCATAATTCATTACAATACAATTACAACAATTCACGAGGGTTTTTAAAAAAGGTTGAGTGATTATTTCCTTTTTGGAGGTACAGCATGAAGGATATCTCTCCCTCTTAATTTTTGACTGAATAGTAAACAGGGGGAAATGTTTAGTATTTAATGTTTTTGTCCCCACAGAGGCAAGCACTGACATGACTCTTGTTTGGCATTTCACAGGAGCAGGTTGCTGGAGTGGTCATGGCGGTCAGATGTGCTTTCTGAGTCAAAGTGTTTTATCATGTGCAATTAGGGCTGCGTCAGCAGAACAGAATAGAACAAATCCAATCAAGGCTTTCATCCAACTGTATTTATAGCTATGTAATTAACATGATACATTTAAATGAACTTGTTTATATAGTAAATCCTATAGTTTTTGCTGATAAACGTTTTAAAACTCTAGCTACAATTTTACACTCAACTTCATCTTTTCATTGAAGAGGATTAATTATAATAAATTGTATTAAGCTTAAGGAAACCCTTTTTTGTAACACGAAAAAAACATGTGAGAATTTATCTTAAAACAGTAAAAGACATTTCATATAGGAACAGCAAAAATTCTCAGAAGGTTCAAGTTCACTCTGTTCTACAAATGAGATGTTTTTGTTTGTGTTCTGGCACATTGACTATCAATCCAAATTATTTATTTTTGGTTTTCAAAATAGACTCAAGACTGCTTGAGCAGAAGTTCGTTTCTGCTGGGAAGACTCTGGAAGTGCTGAGCAAACTGCCTGGGTGCTGCTCTCTTGCTGGGGAAGGCAGCCTGGAGGGCAGAGGAATGGAGAGGAGGTGGCATTCCTTCCAGGGATGGAAGGACAGGCAGCAGTGTGGCTGCCAGGTCCAGGGCGACCACCATTGGTACCTCCTGCACCAGCCCAAGCTCTCTCTTTGTTCTCACCTGCTCTGAGGCCCTGAGGGCAAGAGGGACAGGGAATTCAGAGGCCATCTAGATTCTACAGCAGTGGAGGAACCAACAGCTTCAAATCAAAGTGCAGATTTACATGGCTTTCCCTTAATAAAGCACATCTAAAGAGTTTCTATTGTTTAAAAATCCTAGTGTGCTAAGTCATCAGAATTAAAAGAGAGGACTTCTACTAGCCCTTGGTGAGGATCAACAAATATTCAAATGACATTTACTGAGGCCTACTGCCGGATGTTCCCTGGCTTGGGTGTTAGGTGAGTACAAAGAAGCGTAACGCATGGATTTTGAACTCAAGTGCTTTGCTGAGTTTGAACTCTACTTGTGCATAATTACATAACTCAGAGGGTAGCATGTAGTTAGAAATAGGGGCTCACAGCCAGGCTGCCCCAGGTTTGAGTCTCAGCAATACCACTTGCTGGCTTGGGCAAGTATTTTATCCTCTGATTTATCCTCACTTTACTCATTTGTAAAATAAGGATAATGATAGACTCTTCCTCATAGGATTGTTGTGATGATAAGTCAATGAACTGCATCCTCTGTAAGATTCACTATATAGTAGCTGTTAATAATAATGGCAATTATGCTGATAAGAATAAAATAGCAGGTAATTTCTTTGTTAGTTGAAGGCAATGACAATCAAAAGGTGGAGGATGATTGGAGGGAGAGGAAGGACGTACATAACTAGTCTCTTTCTTCTCACTCCTCTGGCTGTCTTTTCCTTTTCCCAGAGCCCTGGATCCTTGTGACAAAGTCCAAGAGAAATGTATCCAGAATACAAGATCATAGGTCTGCTTTCTCTGAGGCCCAATCAAATCCAACCCCTGGGAGAAAGATCTCCTTCCTGGGATAGTTACTCGCCCCAGGGGCTCTTTTCTCGGGAGCGGTAGATCCTGTAAATTGGCCTCTTCCCTATCCCTTGGTAAGCATCCTTGGTAAGAACTCTCCACTTGATGAGTCTATGGACTGTAGAAGCATGGTCACACTGGAGCAAAAGCTGGGAATGGAGAAGCACACTAACTGGGCCTCCACCTCACACAGTTTACAGCCTAGAGAGCACGTACGTATGTTACCAGGTACCTGGAACACAGCGAATGCTCACTGATGTTAGCCACTACCACAGATCCTTGGTAGTTTACATAGATCATCTTATTTAATCCTCTCAACAACTGTGCGAGATAGATATTATTATTACCCCCATTTGACAGATGAGGAAACTGAGGTTAGGTTACTTGCCCAAGATCACAGAGTACGTGGTAGTGCCAGAGCTCAATCTGAGGCCGCTCAGACTCCAAGTTCATATTTTTATGCTCTGTCTGGTTCTGCCATCCTAACTTATCTAACTGCTTCTCTCAGCAACCCTGTAAGGTGGCGGAAGGTATACGTTCATTTTGCAGGTGAGGAAACTAAGGATTGTTAAGTAAGTATTCCTAAGGCAAAAACACTGATAAATGGCCTAACCACAATTCTGCATCTAATCCAGTGTTTGTTCTCATTCTTGTAGACTCATTCTTGTTATACACGTGAAGCAAGATTTTCAGAGTTTGATGATCCAGCTGATACAGGTGACACACATTACTAACACAAATATAGTTTTCTGACTTGGGGCCTTGAGCTAAAGAAAAACCTGAACTCTAATTCCCATTAAAATTTGAAGTGTGGTTTTTGCTTCATTCAGCGACTTTGTATCACACAAATGTAAGCAAATCCTTAATTAGAAAGGCAAAACATGACTTCCACTAGGATGCTTAAATAGGAAAATACAGAATCATTTTGACTAGATCTCTGTAAACACAAGGAATTTTACTAAACTTATTTGATTACTGGGCTTCCATTTCCAAACAAAATGGTGACTGATTAGCATCATCAACCAAACGATTCCGATACTATCCAACCCAGCAGGTCACCCACCAGTTCGGTTTCCTTCCAATATTTAGATTCACTCCAATTTTCATATTTAGTTACCAATTGTGGGCCAAATTGCCTTCTAACTTTCCTAGATATACTTTCATTGACTGCACCAGAGCTGCAAGCATGGAAGAATAAGTGGATCAGAATGAAGCTAATAATGTCATATCACACTGCTCTCTTCATTTGTTTATAGAAATACTCAGTTCACGGGTACCAGCCAGAAGTGTTTCCATTTGAAGGAACTGAAAGTCTTCTTTAATTTTGATTTCAGTTATTGCCAACTGCTAATTCTGGGAACTCCCTGTTCTTTCACACATTCATTTATTCAACAAGCATGTATCAGGTGCCTCCTAGGTGCCATCCACTGTGCTAAATGTCTAGTACAGTACTTTGCTCGTATTCTAGAAACTTAACAAATATTTTCACTTCAATTTTTATTTGGAGGGATATGCTAATTTTTATATCTACGCATGAGAACATTCCCTGATGGTTATGAAATATGGAATTAAATTTCTGTTTTGAAAGTCCTTAAAGGCTTAATTAAAAGAGAAGATCCTTTGCTTACACATGCTCCCAGGCATCACTCTGGGGCACTGATTACTTACTCTCTGAGAGCCCAGTATTACCAACAAATCACTGAGATGATTACGGCAGCCTGAGCTATTTTTTCTGGAGTTCTCCCATCCAACTACTGACCGTAGCTGGCTCTGATTAGCTTGTGAGATCACAGATAGAGGTTTTAGGCAGCAGGCATTGTTCCCTGGGTAAATAGCTATCGGAGTATGGCCAACAGGTACAGGCATGGGTTGTGTGTCAGTGGATTTCCTCCATCTGGAAAGCCCGAGAAGAGCTCTAGGCACATCCTGTCAAAAGGGAGCACGCTCCACATACGTTTGTTTACTTGCTTCCTAAGGCAAGGTGAACTTTGTTGCATTTTAGAGCCAATGGAATAAGGGTGTTGAGCTAGTTTTATCACATGGCTGGAAAGCAAACCAGGTGAGACCTTTATACAATGGAGTAAGTGTCCACACCTGGGCCTTCAGGAAAAGACTACGTTGTTAAAAAAGAGGAGACCCAGTTGCTACATTTAGGTAGGAAAATAGCCTTGCTCTTCAGGAGACAGAAGATAACTTATGCTTTTCTTTACTCAAATGAAGTCTTGAAGCATTTTCATAAATTTGAAAAAAAAAAAAGCAAAGAAAAACCTGCCTTTTATTTGAGAACAAAACATAAGTGAAAAAGGAGGAATCAGGCTCAAAATCCCACAGTCACACTTTACCTTTAGCTTAGGTATTTCCCTAATTCATCATTACAGTTTATTTGAATAAGGCCTGATTATGGACAGAAAGACCCAAAATGTAATTATATTCTATAAGAGTTTATGTTTGATGACAGACC